ATCTCAAAACCAACATGTTTGTTAGAAGAAGCCCAACAGCTGGAGGGGTGGCACATGCCTGTGATCCCAGCACTCAGGAAGCTGAGGCTGGAAGATCACTGCAAGTCAGAGGCCAGCCTGAATTACTGAGACCATTTCACCCAACCCACTCATGCACAAAGGGCTGGGAATGTAGTTCTGTGTGAAGATTCCTGGTTCAATCCTCAGACCCACAAAAGAAAAAAACAAAAAAACAATACAAAACAGGATTAAAAAAAAAAAAAAACAAAACAGAAACATAGTTTCTTCCCAGACTCTGAAAGATCACTCTGACCACTATTGAGGGTGCACATACCACTCTGGAGACGGAAGTACTAAAGAAAATATCTCTCTTCTATCTGAAAGATTACAAGCAAAAAGAATATAGTGAGTCCCTGACTTTCAAACATCTGAAGTGAGGACTTTCACAGACATGCACAGACCTCACCTTACTGAGATGTGAGCAGAGCTCGGAAGCAGCCTGAGTGTTTGTCAGCACCATCGTGCTGCTGTGTGCTTGCTGTATAGTGCCACAGTGCACACCGCAGGACAGTTCAGTCAAAGGGTGTCTGGAGGCAAGAGGGAAAGCCATGCTGATGTGGGAGTTTGGTTTATTCTTTACAGGGCACATCTGTGTCAAAGGTGTGTGAGATTTGCTTTGTCAGACTGACAAATGAATCTGATTTATGAATGTCTCCTGGAATGGGACACATCCGTAAGTTGGGGACTTAATTGTATGATGTCTGGGACTTTACTTTTTAACCATTAATAAGGCTGACAGGGCCAGGGATTTAGCTCAGTGGTTCTATTTCCTACCTTGCAAGCGCAAAAACCAAGGACCCGAGTTTGATCCCTGGCACCAAAAACGAAACAAAAACAAACAAATAAAAGGCTGACAAACACAGTACATAGTAAGAGAGGTAACTACTACACTGCTCATGAAAAGGAGTTCCTGCATATGTCTGGCTTTGGGTAAAGCACTTTGTTCCTAGGCAGCTGACAACAAGACCTCCTCACACTCAGGCACCTGCAGGGACACACGCCAGCACACACACCTGGACTGCTCACTTCTCCACGGCACTCACACTGGCCACATGGGGGAGTGTGTGGGATCTGGAGGAGGCTTCACACACCAGTGCTGATCAAGCACACGAAGAGCTCTCATCATTAGCAGAGTAAAACCATGGATACCTGCAAGATAATCCAACCCTCAGGGAGAGAATCCAGATGCTGACAAGCCGTGAAGATCCATGAACTCTCCCTCCCAGGCACTGGTATCAAGTACAGGAAGCTGTGACCACGGGGCTCAATGTGCACACCAAGCCGGCAGTGCAGTGCCAAGGAGGGCGGCCAACAGAAACAGGCAGGCATGTGTTCATCAAAAGCACCCACAAAAATTCCAGTGAAGGGCCAGCATGTAGTTAAGTGGTACCGCTGCCTACCTCACAAGCGCCAAGTCCTGAGTTTCACCCCCAGTACCAAAAAATAAAGAATTCCTATGAATGTCTCACTGAAAAACAGCCTCATAATTTAAAAATCTACGTGCATATTCATAACAGCATTATCCATGCCAGGGATTTAGCTCAATGGTGCCACCGCCTGCCTCAAAAGCGAAGGACCTGAGTTCGATCCCTGGTACAAAACAAACAAACAAAAAACCCCCAGCATTATCCACAGCAGCTTCAAATAAAGCTTTTCCACGTCCTTCTATGGCAGACTATCAAGTCATACTATATTCAACTCCCCATTCGGCAATGAGAACACGGACTAATCTCGCAAACACACTCTCCTCTGCAGTCCATTCTGTGTCCACACACCTCACGTTCAAAGCCAAGGGAATCCAGGCTGTGGTTCAGACTTCACAGCAGCTCCTGAACTGGGGAGGGCCTCGAAGGGAGGTGGAAAGGGATGGCACACGGGCGGGCTCTTCTAGGCCTCCCTTGGGTCTGTGCACTCCTGTGTGGCCCACCCTACAGCAGTCACAGCAGCAATGCAGAGTGGAAAAAGGCCAAAGCCTCAAGGGCAAGGCGGACTGAGAGATGCTTCAGTAGGTAGAGGGATAGCCACACAAGTCTGTGGACTCAGAGAAACCGGCAGGCTGGGACGGAGCCCACAGGCCCTGGACAGGATGCTGTAGACGGTGCTGGAATCACCAAAGGCGTTGTCTCCACACGGTACCCTTCCCACCCTTCCAGGTGGCTTGCCTCAAGTGGCTTCTGTGCTTTATGTAGGTTCACAGTTTGTCATCCACATTCCAAAATGCAAAAACCTCCAAAAAAAACTCTGACCTCAAATCACTTGGCAGCCAACTCTGCAGAACCGAAGAGGAGTTAATTATAGCCTCTAATTACCCCACTTAGCCAGGACACTGGTCTGCGTGTCCCGACAGACTCGATGTAATGCGCTGCGCGCAGGTCCCACATGGCACGCACACGGTCCACTTCTCCACAGCCCACCCACTTCTGACCCTGCCACTCCTCAGTTTCAGGTAGGATCTGCATACACTCTATTTTGGGCAGAGCCACTTTCCTCCAGATTTCTACAGAAATATTCTGATGTGAGGGGCAAATGGGATACTAAACCCAAAAGGAAGGATTCATAAAGCCCTGTGCAGGACAGATCATCAATTAGTACTTTCAGTATTAATAACAGGCAATAAATACATGTGGCATTAAAAACCAAAGAATTGGGGGAAATACACATGATTCCCTCCAGCATCCTCCCTACTGTACTGCTCTGGGGCCTAAAAGGCTCCACACAGACCCCAGAACCATGCAACCAAACCAGCAAGCAGGCAAGGATGAGTGGCCAGTCTAGGTACAGCTTGGACACTACCCAGGCAGGTGGCATCTGCCTCTGCTGGCCACTGTGCTCCAGCTCCTCCAAGTGCCAACCCCACAAAAGGCACCATGCAGTGCTGTGAGAACCTCAGCTAATGGGCTCCACCAGCTCCTCAGGAACTGGGGGAGGCACTCCCCACACAACTTCGCCATGAACTTAAAACTGCTCTACCAAACAATTTTAACCGGGTGTGTACATCTGTAGCCCCAGATGCTCAGGAAGCTGGTGCAGAAGGATCTCAAGTTTAAGGCCAGACTGGGCAACTTACTCTCAAAGTAAAATCTTAAGAGCTGGGATGTAACTCGTGACAGACTGCATGTCTAGGGTACATAAAGCTCTGGGTTCAACCTTCAGCACTAAAAAAAAAAAGTCTTTCTTGTGTGTGTGGTACTAGGAATTAAACTCAGGCACTCAGGCTTGTCTAGACATTACAAATACTCTGATAGCAGGTCCAAATAGTTGGGAAATGGATTTAGAAGATACAGATAAGACAGAAAATACCAAGGGGAAACCACATAGAAGATGGCCTCTGACACGGGGTCCCTCTGGCCACATGTGTACTGGCAGCACTGAACCCAGGGCCTCACACACACCAGGCAAGCTTTCTACCACTGGGCTACAGCCCCAGCCTTTTGCAGGGGGAGAATTAGGGAGCCAGAACCCTGGCCCTCTTTTTTATTGAGACAGGATATCCCTAAACTGTATAATGCCCAGCTGGGCTAACTTGCAATCCTCCTGCCTCACCCTGCCAGGGAGCTGAGGTTACAGACACCTGATTTGTCTAGGCTGGCCCTGCTGGAGCAGATCACACAGCAGCAAGTACTGCGGCAGGCTGGAGGGAAATCCATGTGTGTGTCCACTGGACAGTGCCTGACGGCACCTCAGTGTTTCCTGGTGTACTTTCCAAGGAGCACGCGTCATCTTCCTTCCCGAATGGACCCCAGAGCTAGCCACGCCCCACCTGTCACCATGAAAATACCTTTCCCATGGGAAGCATGCAGGTTAGCAGTGTCGTGCCCACCTCCCACGAAGCAGCAGGGCTGAAATGCTCATCCCGCTGCCCACTGGCCTTTATCCTGGCCACTGGTGGCTTCTCCCATTCCTACAGCCCCAAGGTGCAGAAGGCGCTAGACCCCAGCTGAAGGCCCAGGTCTGCAGCAGCAGCCCCTCTGGGCTCTGCTTGTGGCAAGAATGCCTGGCTGCATCATCCAAAACCACAGCAAGCTGGCATGAGGACGCAGGTGTGGGCACAGGGGAAGTGGGGTCACCAACGGCACACAGAGGTGTAGACTGCTGAGCCAGGGCCTCAGGTTGCCCTGAAAGTCCTCCCCTCTCACAGCAAGGACAGGATTATCCTTGTGTTCATCTTTGTTACTTTTGTTAGTACATCTGCAGGACATAATGACTGCACTCATCACAGGGAGTTAGTACACGTACGTAACGTGCTTTAATAGGCCCCCCTGAATCTTAATCCAGGAGAAACTGCCAAGCAACAGGAGGAAACTGAACCCTCTTCCTGCCTGAGATAGGGCTGGCTGGCAAATCCAGGGAGTCCTCTTTTATTTATTTTTTAATAAGAATATCTACATTAGTTTGCATCCTACAATTTTGTCTTAACTGTTTTCAAAACACAGATCCTGATGGAAAATATGCTCTCATGGGAAATAATTTTACAAAATGCCCACAATCACCATCAGCTGTTTTGGAAAATTTATTAGGCTAACTTGTTGCATTTCTCAAGGGAATTCCATCCAGGACAAAAAAGAAAACAACATATGCATTTTAAAAATAGGGCTCTGGCTGTCTGTGGTGGTACAGGCCTGTGATCCTCAGCAGTCTGAGGCAGGAGGATCGCTGTGAGTGCCAGGCCAGCCTGGGCTACATAGTGAGACCCTGTCTCAAAAACAACTACAACAATAGAGGGCTCTCAATTTTTAGTAAGAGAATGGTATAGATTTAAAGACAGTAAAATGAAAGAAAAATCTTACACCTGTAATCAATCTAGTGTGTAAAGATTACACCGTCTCAGCTACTTCGAGGGCAGAACCTGTCAGGAACATCTACCATCGTCAGCCTCAGAGGGCAGATGTTCCAGAACACAGAAGCAGAGCCAGCTGAGACAGTTCGAGGCCAGTGCTCACCGCAGGTAAACACACACTGGTGTCCAGGTCCTTCCCAAGGGACAGACTGCACTAAAGACAGCCAGCCAGTCAGTTTTTCTCATTTGCACAGAGGAAATGGAAACCCTAGAACAGCAGGAATCACAGGCAGAGTTAATGCTCAGCTGAGAGGTACACCGAAACAAACCAACGGAACACAGCACATACATCTCATCTTTGTGGAAATGGTGGAGCTTGGAGCACACTGCCCTCCTGTGCCAGAAACAAGGGTGTAGACAGGGTTGGAAACCACAAGTGCCTTTACACAACCTTGAATTTCCAATCTGAGAAATGAGAGACATGGTAATCTGGCTGAACTTCATTAGTACCAGGGCAAGCTCTGCAAATACATCCACTTTCAAGTAGTGAAGTTTATTTATTTTTAAAAATTTTATTTACGTATGTATTTTGGTTTTTTGAGGCAGGGCCTCTCTATATAGTTCAGGCTGGCCTTGAACTCACTATGGAGCCCAGGCTTGCTTTAAACTCACAGAACCTCCTCCTTCAGCCTGACTATTGGGATCACATGTGTGCGCCACCACACCCAGCTCCCAAAGTTTATTTTCTCATAGTACATCTCCTTCTCCTAAAATCATGTGTCTCAAATAAAGTACAGGGGGCAAGGGGAGGTGGTTCCATGTACAGCATGTGCTTAGCAAGGTGAAGCCCTGGGTTCCAGCATCAAAAAAAGAAAGGAAAGAAAGAAAAAAAGTACAAGGCTGGCAGGAGGTCCCAGTTACTTAGGACTTCCCAGTGCTGCCTGTTGACAGGGACAACATCAGGGAACATATGGCAGTGCTCCAGCCAGTGTCACACCTGCTCTGCTCTGGACTAAGATGCAAAATGGCTGGGAATAAACCCGGGGCCCAGGCGTGCTACCTGTGCTCTGCCACTGAGCAGTATCACAGGCCCTTTTTCTTTTCTTTTTTGAGGCAAGTCTCATTAAGTGACCCAGGCTTGCCTCAAATTAAGATTCTCATGCCTCAGCCTCCCAAACAGCAGGATTACAGGCATATGTCACTATACTTATCTGGCCTGAAACATTTGTGTATGTATTTTGGGGCCTTTCTGGCTGCTTTCCTAGTTCCTAAACCAAAAATCTCTATCATTTATGAGTTTTAAAAACAACCAACATGGGTGGGGGATTTAGCTCAGTGGTGCCACCACCTGCCTCACAAGCACAAGGTCTCCCCCCGCCAAAAAAAAAAAAGAAAAAACAAAACCAACATGAGCCAGGTGTGTTGGCTCACACCTGTAATCCTAGCAATCATGAGGCTGAGGTAGGAGGGTTGCTGTCAGCCTGAACTACACAGAAAGACCTTGTTTCAAACAAACAAATACACCCCTACATGACAGTGCATACTTGGAACCAGGAGGATAATGGAGGAGGATCAAAAGCTCAAGCTCAGCCCGGGCAACTTAGGGAGATTTCAGTCAGGGTTAGGGATATAGCTCAGTGTGAGCACTGGGATCAATCCTCAGTACTTCAGATGAGGGCGAGAGAGACACACAAACAGACAGAAGGGATACTGAAAAACACGCATTTAGGGCCAGGGATTTAGCTCAGTGGTTCCAGCACCCACTTCACGAGCGCAAGGACCCAAGTTCGATTTCTGGTACCAAAAAAAAAAAAAA